TACCAGTAGGTGGCGCTATGACTATGATTCAAAATTGGCCTGCAGATGTCTTCAGGCCAGGAGTCTAATCAAACATGTGCAATCTGGTAAAGATCTGATGATGTGGAGTTGAGTTACATCAGTTTATTCGTTCATGGCGAAGGATCGAAATTCGCCGAGCCGCCACGTCGCCACCCTTCAACAACTTCTTACAATCTTCACAATGAAGTATTATCAAGGTCTTAAGGCTGTTCTGACAACATTTTAGAGGGATCTGATTAATCTGTGAGGAGCAGGATGTCAAAGTACACAATTTACAACTTCCAGTTGCCACTAGGTGGCGCTATTACTATGATTCTAAATTATTACATAGATGTGTTCCGGGTCAGGATGTTATGACATATGAGAGATTTGGAGCAGATTCGACAATGTACGGCCGAGTTACAACAACTTCCTGTTTCGCGGCGAATGGTGTTTTTTTGACGCCACGCCACGGACACATAGTTCGATAACTTTTTGATCTTTGAGTAACTTTTCACTGCCAAGGTCTCAAGAGCATACTGACCGAATCTGAAGTCAATCGGGTCAAATATCTGGGAGGAGTTTGTTAAAGTATGACGCCTTGAAATGGTCAAAAAACGTCATAAAAGTCAAAATGGCCGACTTCCTGTTTGGTTTAATGAAAAACTCCAAGAGGATTTTTTGTGTGTCTCATCACGATCCACATACCTACCAAATTTCATACAGCTAGGTGAAACCCAATGTTGGGGCTACTCAATAGGGGGCGCTATCGAGCCAATATTTAATACCGCAGTTGGACACCCCAATCAGACTGCAATTTTCACAAATTCTGGCTTGCCTGCCAAATTTCGACATTTTCCCAGTATCCCAAGCACCTCCTTTTTGCGACGAAACACTAAGAATAAGAATAATAATAATAATAAACAATCGAAAAACAATAGGTCCTCCGCTCCGACTACGTCGGTGCTCGGGCCCTAATAATAATAATAAACAATCGAATAA